GAATCATTTAATTCATAAAAAATAATTTCTAATGACAGTTATAATCTCCTAGTTTGACTCCCAATTTTTTATTCTAGTATTTTTGTTAAATTCATATTAATATAAAATACTCCTCTACTCTTGTTTTTTATTATATATTATATACCATATATATATATCTAGTATAGATAATATCAATTTAGCTAATTCTATTGTATTTACATTCTTCTTTTTATTTTATTTTATTGAGGTATAATCGATGTACAATGTTATATTAATTTCAGGTGTATAACAATTTGATTGGACAATTTATACACTAATCAGTGCTCCCTCACCATGATAAGTGTGGTCACCATCTGTCACCATAAAATGTTACTGCACTATTATTGACTATATTCCCTATGCTGTACTTTTCATATCCATGACTTGTTTATTTTATAAGTTTGTACCTCTTAATCGTCTTTATTTATTTCACCCGTGCCCCTCCCATTCCCTCTGGGCAACCACCAGTTTGTTCTCTCTATTCATGAGTCTGTTTTTGTATGTTTGTGTGTCTTTTTAGGTTCTACCTGTAAGTGAACTCATGAGGTATTTGTCTTTCTCTGAGTTGTTTCACTTAGAGTAAAACCCCTAATTACAGTTTGCTCAGTCACAAAGAGTATTTAGATGATACTTAGTAATAGGTGACATACTCTCTCAGATTACATTTTGTTTAAATTTCATTGATTATTCTCACTTGATATAGTAATATATTGCATTAAATTAATTAAATTTTTAACTAAATTCCTACCAATATATTATTGCATTCCAAAGGGATTCCTGTCTATGATCAAACTTTTAATATCTTGATGAATTTTGCAAAGCATTTTATTTTTAATTTCTGTTATTAGTGAAGTTGTCCTATAATTCCCTTTGCTTTACTACTGTTATCAGTTATTGGCATCACCTTTGCTGACTTTATAAAATAAATAGAAATGTTTCCAGAGTCTAAATATATTTAATGCGATTGGTATTATATGATTCTTAAAAGTTTGTAAATGTTCATTATAAAACCTCAGACTCTGAGAGTATGTTGTGAAGAAACTTTGTGTGTGTGTGTGAAGAAACTTTTTAAAAATGTTTCGGTCAGTATCAGGTTTCATTCAATTTTTTTTTGTGTGTGTGTTCAGTTTGGATATTTATATTTCCTTGGATTTTTGGAATGAAATCCAGATTATCAAATTTATTAGCAGAAATTCTATATTAAAAGTGATGAATCACTAAAATCTACTCCTGAAACTAATATTACACTCTATGTTAACTAACAGGAATTAAAATAAAAGCTTTTTTTTTAAACAACAAGAAAAAAATACATTAACTCAAAATCATAGCTAGTCATTCCTTCTTTCTTCCTGTTTCCTTATTTCTCCCTCTTTTTTCTTCCCCATGCTTCTGCTTCTTCTGCTTTTTCTCTCTGTGTCTTGTTCCCTCTTTCTATTTTGCTCAATAAATCATCAGTTAACTGTATGTATTATCTTTTGGCCAAAACTCTTTGGGTCCACATATTAAAAACTCATTTTTGTTGTCTTATATGAATTATAATCACATTTTATTCTTATTTATTTTAAAATATTTTATTTATTTAATTTAAAGAAAGAGAGAGAGAGAGAGCAGTGGTGAGGGGCAGAGGGAGAGGGAGAGAATCTCAAATGAATTCTACTCTGAGTGCAGAGCCTGATGTGGGGCTCAGCTTCACAACTCTGAGATCAGACCTGAGTCAAAGCCAAGAATAGGACATTTAACCGATGACTGATCCAAAGCCAAGAGTTGGACATTTAACTGACTCCAGGTGCCCTCATACATGATTTTTTAAAAATATATTTAATTTATGGAAGAATTTTATGTTTAAACACATCTCACAAATGTTTATATTTGTTTTATTGTTGTCTTAAAATTTCTAAACTACTTATGCTGATTGAAATATACCTACAAAATAGAGACTTTTCATTTTCTAGTTTACTTCGTGAGTACTCTTAAAAATTTTTCCAGAAAAATCTAAAAAAAAAAAAAAAGCCTCACTTTTGTTTGTATAGTTCAACATTCTGTTTGTGTAGTACATTTATTAGGAAAATACTAATTCAATCTTAATAATTATGTTTTTGAAACTTTGTCTTTTTCTCTTAATTTTTCAAATACTGAGAGCAATGAGTTAGAGAAATAGGATACAATTGTAGATTTATAAATTTTGTATCCAGTCCTAATAGCATTTGCTTCATATTTTAATATGCTTGTAGTTTATACAATATTAAGTTCAATATGAAGTGCCTTGAATTTTATCTTCTTTGGTGTTAATATCACAAGCCATGTATTTTTTCCGATACTTTCTCATGAATGATTGCCTACCTTGAAAATATCTCTGTCCTTAACTCCTTTAGACTAGCAGTGCTTTGATAGACCACTAAGATTTGTGCAGTCTTATTCTTCTATATAGAAACCTTACCCTTAAAATTCTCACTCAGTTCAGTCTTACTCATCTTGCACACCCTTACCTTCAGTATTTCCCAGTATTTAATCCATCCACAATCATGGTACTGTTCCTCTCTTTCATAACCCATTAAATGTGTGACTTAAAATTTTTTCTATGTTGTGGTTTGAATAATTTTTTTTTCTCAACTAGAATATAAGGTCTTTTAACTGGGAGATTGGGCCTGTGCTAATCTGTGTATTGCATCACTGAATGCAGTGTCTGACATAGGCTGGGCACTCAGTCAGTACTCACTGAGCAAATGGATGGAAATATGAGGAAACATAGATCTAGTTACCCTCTTTTTTTATAAACCAGAAAATAAAAAGGGTAAGTCTAATCATGGCTCAGCCTTTCCTGAGCCTACAGAAGAAAATTTAATCTCTTCTGTATTATGTACAGAAGACTTTCTTGATCTACTCATAGAAAAATTCTCTGGTATCATCTTCTATCAGTTTTGCCCTTCAAATATACTCAGTTACTCAATCGGAGAAGGACAAACAGTGTATGTTCTCACTCATTTGGGGAATATGAATAATAGTGAAGGGGAATATAAGGGAAGGGAGAAGAAATGTGTGGGAGATATCAGAAAGGGACACAGAACATAAAGACTTCTAACTCTGGGAAATGAACTAGGGGTGGTGGAAGGGGAGGAGGGCGGGGGGTGGGGGTGAATGGGTGACGGGCACGGAGGGGGACACTTGACGGGATGAGCACTGGGTGTTATTCTGTATGTTGGTAAATTGAACACCAATAAAAATTAATTTATAAAAAAAAATAAAAAAAAAAAACAAATATACTCAGTTACTGAAATTTCTCTGAATACAGGAATTCCTCCTTATGCAGGGGATATGGTCCAAGACCCCCAGTGGATGCCTGAAACAAGTTATACTACTAGACTCCATATATACGGTTTTTATTTTTCTTACACATACATACTTATGATAAAATTTAATTTATAAGTTAGGTATACTAAAAGGTTGACAATGATAGCTAAGAATAAAACAATTATAATAATATACTGTAATAAAAGTTATGTCAATGTGATCTCTCTCTCTCTCTCTCTCTCTCTCATACTCACCTTTATTCTTGTGATGATGTAAGATGATAAAATGCCTAAGTGATAAAGTGAAAGACATATGCATTGAGACTACTATTGACATTCTAATAATACTTTAGGTGCAGGATCATCTACTTCCAGACTGAGGTTAACTGCTGGTCATTGACATCTCTGTCCTCTCCTTGCTAATAGGATCTATCATTTTCATATTCATTTCAAGAAGACTGTAGATAGGGGTAGCCTGGGTGGCTCAGCAGTTAAGCATCTGCCTTCAGCTCAGGGCATGGTCATGAAGACCCAGGATCGAGTCCCACGTCGGGCTCCCTGCATGGAGCCTGCTTCTCCCTCTGCCTGTGTCTCTGCATCTCTCTCTCTCTGTTTCTCATGAATAAATAAATAAAATATTAAAAAAAAAACCACTGTAGACAACAAGAACAGCATCAGAAAATGTCCTGAAGGGATGCATAGTACTTTAAAAAAATTATTTTTGAAAAGTTCAGCAGGTTTTGAAACTGGATGACTTGGACCTTCAACCTCCAGCTAGGAGAGCTGGACTCTAGTCTTAGCTCTGCTAATTCGTGGTAGAGGTTCAGTTAAAAAAAAAAAAAAAACAGTTTCAAAAAAGTGATTATGGTTTATTATGGTTAAAATAGGGAATATTTAGATATGCATGAGCTTTTACATCAGTTAAACTTTCTTTTGACAGATTATTTTGCTTTGAAAACAGAATTTGGGCAACTTTCAATTAGTAATGGAGGCAGACATTTCTCTGAGAATATTTCTAATTGTTAATTTCTATCTCAATTCTATTTTAACTCTATTGATTCAGTTTCTATATAGTATTTAATAAACCTATTGTCAGAAACAATTTAATATGAATCATTGTGCATTGAACTAAGCAAGATATATTTAGATATATTTCATTCTGTCTGGTTTAAAAAGAGAAAACATATTACTTAAAAATAAGCTACATCTGTATTCAAAATCCTTTATTTAAGGAACTCTTCTTGCTCAGGAATATTGCATATTAGGTGGGAATATTGAATATTGTGACTACTGAGAATTTTTAAACTATATTTTTTTCAGTTAGCAACTTTTAACTATACTGTCTTAAATAGTTTTAACTACCAATGTTTGTTCTAGAGATATATTTTAATAACATTAACCTAAATATCCTATTCTTTCCAATGATCCATAAAATGTTCTCTGTTTATTAACAAAATCTTTATTCCAAAGAAGAATTGGCAATTTCAGAAATGCAAAGACCATTATTAGCTAGTACCAGCATTTTACTGTTTTGTTAATTCAAAGTCGTTTGTTGAATTCACCATCACCACTTTTATGTACATGTTCTATCCTAGAGATTGTGACCTCTTTAATAGTTATTTATATGATTCTGCAATTGAAGCTCTATTTACTCATTTTTCTTTCTCCCCTTTTTCTTTTAACATGCTGCAGTAGCTAACATATTATGGAGAGAAGAAGGTACTAAATTCCATTATTTTTATATTGTAATTATTTTGCTTAATTTTTAGTAGATTTGTTGACTATCAGTTTTAATAATTATTCATGTTTATGTTGACTTGATATTTTATTGGTTATAAATCAATATTGTCTTTTGTAAACCTGATACCATTAAATATATTTCTTACTTCTTATCAGTTTGATTTATTATTGATATATAACCAGGGAGGTAGGTTATAATACATTGAAATGCTTTTAAACACTTAAAATTAAGTCAAAGAAATAAAAGCAAACTTAAACATCATTTCCATAGTAAACCCTGATTTAGATTAGAAAAAGGAAAATTATAAAAAAAAAACATTGCTTTATCGAGGGCATGTTATCAAATTATTTAAGAAAATAGGTTATAAACTTGAAGGGTCTAGATTCAAATCCAGTCTCCACCACTATATAACCAAGGGCCTCTTTTCCTGTCCCAATTTTCTTAGCTCAAAAATAAGGATAGTTGTTAATACCAGTAGGGCTGCTATCAGTTCCTTAAATATAGTCTACACTCAATAAACTGTGTCCGCTTCCACTTGTTATTTTTCTTATTAGTAATGACCGGGGAGGATGTATTTGACCAGTTACTGATGTGCTTTAGTTAAATTCTTAGGAACAAAATGTAATAAGTTATCATTACAGTTCTGGAAAGCAGTGGCCAAACATTGCCTCACAATCCATCCTAGACAAACTTTGGCTTCCCTGGTCATAGCTTCCCACATAAGCTGGAGTCACTGCCACCTGTGAGGGCCGCGTCTCATTAGTGTCAAGTAATTCGAGAACTGAAGCCCCTGTTTGGTCCTCAGTAAAGAGGCACACCACCATTTCCCCTCCTTGGTATATGCTGCTTCTGAAATCTTTTGTATAGGTTTCTTCAAAGTCTGGTTTGCAGAGGGGTTCTGGTGTGATTATGCCTTCTCATTTTATTCCACTTAGATATTTCACATGGAACATACAAATGTAATCGTTACCAAAACTAGCATTAACATATCTGTTAAGCAGCATTTCTTTCTGCTCTCTTCCCTCTCGAGACCAAGCAAATATATCTCTGGGCATTTCATGTTTTCATCGTAATGGAAGGAACAAAACCTAAGTAGTCAGAGCTCAGGGAGCCCGGATCTGGCTTTGCTGGTTAACTGCTGGTAAAAATTGGATGTATTATTTTACCTCTGTGAGCCAGATTTTTTGACACATTGCTTGAAATACAGTTGACACTCTTCTAGCAAAATCGTGATATGTAAATGTCCTTAGAGTGTGTAAAGCAATGCTTTCTTATAATTTGACTTTGATAATGACCATGAACATTATTATTTTATAATTTTAATACGTAATAATAATAATAATAATATGATATTCTTCAGGCTACCTTTAAAAATATGAGATCTCAAGCTTAATTAAAATCACCCTGAGATTCATTATACAAAAATATTTTTGACTATCTAAAATATTCTGTTAATTTTTTAACATGTGTACCTTCAATAATTATTCACCATCAATCAAAAATTTGCTTACTCTTCATTATTTTGACAGAGAATATGTCCTTGAGAAATAATAGCTATTTAGTATATTTTGCAGATAATTTTTTTTTTGCAGATAATTTTAAGACATATAAGATAAATGTCTTTGGGTAAAGTTTTTAAATCTTTTATTTCATGGTAAATTATCATCAAGGTCCTTTGTTGTTTCTTAGAATAAACAAGATTTAACATAATATACTTGGGAAGACAATATGCCTGATTTGGATTCATAGGCATCTTTAAATTATTTTTTACAAAGCCACAGTTACTGGCAAGGCATCACAATTAGAAATGATTGCATGTAATAATAGTAATGGTGGCCAGAGATAATAGGCCAGCTTGCGGAATCACTGAATCTTAATAGTGTATACAATTATTTCATAAAAAGTAATTAAAATAATAGCTAATTAAAGCTTCCAAAAATGTTCTACCTTTATTTTTAAAAGATAGAATAATAAATATGAACTGCATAATTCTGAGATCCATTTTTATTTCCACTGAGGTAATGTTTTCTGTTTGTACGCTTGCCACTTTACCATGGCCAAGAGAAAATTCATCCCAGAGAGAACCAACTGGGGAATTCCAATTTCAGGCATTCTAAGATAAATATTGGAAAGAGAGTTAAAAATGATAAACCTCTCATAATGTCATTGTACTTATATGCAAGTATTAAAACCATAAAATTTTGTTTAACCGAAAAATTATTTTTTAAACATGAGCATCAGAATAGCTTAGCCAGGACTTTGTAATCTAAATTGATTTTACTGAATTTAATATGTATTATCTTATTAATCACATGGATATTTAGGCTTGAAACACAGCATCCTCTACTTTTCTGGGTTCTTTTTCTAGTTCTTTTCTAGTCATCATTGTGGTTTGAGGAGTATAGAAAGACATTGTTGAGAGAGGAAATATGCCATTTATTCACAAACATTTTAAAGGGACTATTAAATGCAAACCACTTTGAAAAATACTGGAAATGTAAAAATGTTATTTATATTTATATAAGAAATTTTCTCTAAAAAATTCAGTCAAGTAAGTTAAAGTTCTTATTCTAAATCATTCTTATTGATAACTAATCTTACTATATGATTTGAAAATAATACATTAAAAGATCCACTGTTTGGTTTTCTTCTACAATGTTTTTTATGATCTTGTAATAAAATAAAATCTAGTAAATTATGTATTAATATCTAGTGGGCAGCAGTTTAGCAATATCATATATGCCCCAACTTAATAACTGTTTTGGTTTGTATAAGCTCTAAAGTAAAGAACTTCAAGCCATTTTACTCACTGATGAATTAATCTTAACTTTTGGATATGCAACATTCAAGCTCCAAGGAGATACAAGGTGGTTCATTATATAGCATAGTATTTCCAACATTTGTTACAACATGGCATTATTTTGATGAATATCTATAGGGTCAATATTAAATAAAGTCTACTTTAGGAAATGCTGGATTGATATGACATTTAATGATTAGAAAGCCAAAAATAATTTCTATGTTTATAAAAATTGAGCATCCATTCTATTCCTTGTAAATATTTATGAAATCTATTCATAATATATTGAATAATCTATTCATGATATAAAATATTATGATTGAATATATAAATGATTGAAATAAATCACTGTATTAGTCAGGCTCATTAACACCTACCAATACAAAATACAAATAGAAATTGCAGGGAAATCTTACAACAAAGCTTATACATTACACCATAATCTGATTAGCTTTGTGATCTATAATGTCACCAAAGTGAAGGAAAAGGGACATGGCAAGCAGGTCAGCTTTTAACTTCTTCAGCCTGAAATTATTCACATTTCATTGGCCAGACTATTATACATTGCAAGAGGGGTTGGGAAAAATAGACTAATATATACCAGCTTTGTGAGTTCCATAAACTTCTCATGAATTTATTTTTAGAGAAAAAATGCTGACATTCTCAGGACCAGATCACTGCCTCATAATAATATTGATCAGTTTTTTAAAATGAAAAAGAACTTTCAGAGCATAAGGCTTCTGATTGCATCAAACTTAGAAAGGCATAGCATTGTGGAGAAGTAGAGACCATGCCTTCTAATGGTCACTACACAATGCCAATTAAACCATGATCAAATTCTTGGTATTTTCACTAGCCAGTCTTCTACTGCTGTTTTATTTTTTTAAATTTTTTTATTTATTTATGATAGTCACAGAGAGAGAAAGAGAGAGAGGCAGAGACATAGGCAAATGGAGAAGCAGGCTCCATGCACCTGGAGCCCGATGTGGGATTCGATCCCGGGTCTCCAGGATCGCGCCCTGGGCCAAAGGCAGGCACCAAACCGCTGAGCCACCCAGGGATCCCTCTACTGCTGTTTTAAATACTAACATCAACCTAACCTTTTAGTGTTTTACATTATTTCATTAAAAAAGTTTTCAAATCAAAATTGTGATTTGATAAGAAATACCCATTTGCAGTTATATGTGCATGTACATACACACATATATATGTACATATATATAATATGCTAGATGTATACACGCATATATACATATAATTACATATATGATTCCCATTAACATTATATAGCACAAATATTCTATTATGTTATAACCTTTGCTATGTTAGTCGTTAAATGTGAAATTAATCATGCAGATCTGCATTCAGTTTCTTCAGCATATCTTCGGAAGTTCAGGACATGGTATACAAGACTCAAAAGGTACTGGTTTTAGATAATGTCACTCTGACCAGTACCAATAGTACCCAGCTAATAAAGAGCTTGACGCAATCACTCACTTTCTAGCAAGAATGAAAGAATAAGTTTTATTCTAGTTGAACATAATATAGAGGTCTTGTAGACGTGCAGTGGAATGATGCTACTTTTGTGTAAAAAAAGTTTTAGCTCCAAAGACAAAGTGCAAAACATGGGAACATTAATGAACCAAAAGTCCTCCCTGCTAAGTTTTCCAAAATGAGAAATGCAATATGGATTGTCTATCTACTCTTGTCTATATTTTTCTTTACCTAAAAGAAAGAGATTTTTTTTCTAGTTTTCAAAAAGAAAGATAAGCTTAGGATCTCTTAAAAGTGAAAAGAATAATATCAACTACTAAAGGACTTTATAAAAACACTTAGTGAATTATTTGGTTGGTTACAAATCACTGCATCATAGAATTACAATTTGCTCCTCACCATAACTTAAATCCTAAAGCAATGGCAATTTAAATCAGAGGAAGACAAACATCACCACAAAATATCTTTTAGTATTGACTATTTCTGTTATTATCATCTATCCAGGAATTAGAAATTAACCAAATTTTATGATTGATGTAAATTATATATGTGCTATATATAAGAAATAACATCATTGTATTATCACGATACACTATTACTCATGAGCAGCTGTCCTAATGGACAGAGACAGGCATGTGCATTAAACCCATTTTTTTCTCAGTCCATTTCATGTACTTAAAGGTGCCGTATTGATTAGAAAATCCTCTGGGAAATACTTCCCTCTTACAAGACTGCAAGTAATTCTTGCGTCCTTTCTCTGTAGAGAAAGAAAAACAAAGCAAAAGGAAAACTCACAAGGAACAAACAAATTATGGATCACTTTCTGGAGCCACTATACTCCATTAAATTAACAATTGACCCAGAAAAGACAAAGTACATGTGTCTGTCTTCACCGGGGGATGAAAAAAGAAACTAGATGCTGCATGTATTGCCAGTCCTGACTGTGACAGGCGTGGTGAGGCTTTTGCTGAAGCCAGGAACTTTTGTATTATCTTGCAATACAATGCATGAATGAGGAGAGACCTGTTAATAGACCTGTTAATAGAAACTGACATGGTTATTAAACTTTTTGGGACTCAGAACCGCTTTGCATTCTTCAAAACTATTGAGAACTCAAAAGCTTTTGTTTATATGGGTTATTCCTAGCCACCTAGATTTCTATATCTACCTATTTCATACTACAAATTAAGTCTGAGAAAAATTAAAGATGTTTCTTTATCAATTTGTTGAAAATAACCACAATAAATCCATTTATAAGCAGCCATAAATAAGAGTTTAAAGCTATATTTTAAAAAATGAAGAGATTCACATTGTTTTGCATTTTGCAAATCTTTTTAATGTCTAACTGAAAAGATGATGGTGGATGTCTATATCTGCTTCTGCCCTGAATTGTTGTGATATCACTCATTACATCATATGTCATGTACCTGTCAAAAACTACAACTCTTCGTTGGAAGAATCTGAGAATAGGAGAGAAAAATACAAATGGCACCATAATATTATTATGAAAATAGTTTTGGCTTTGCAGACGCCCTGAAAAGATCGACTTTGAGAATTGCCTACTGGAAAATGAAGTTGTTCTTTTAGCACACTTATAGTTTCATAGAATTTGATGTAAAACTGAAATGTAATAGTGTATCTCATAGTGTAGATTAAGAAAAACATGGGAACAGAAATCAAAATCCATCTCACCATTTTTTCCTCCTTATGCCTAAAAGAAGAGACAATAGTCATAAAAGTGGTGACAGTACTATTTTTTAAAATTTTCCCAGGTGTCACTCTGCTGTTTACTTCCCCCACCCATTGAATATGATTCTTACAATAGCTGTATAACATAACTATAATTTTTATATACAAACTTGAGATGGGGAAATTATGACATAGACTGAATAACTTTCCCATAGTACAACACTGAGTTCTAAAGCCACGACTGGCCTCTGAGCTGTTCAAACCCAGAGAATGGAGTTTATCTCTCTGTTAGAGTCTCCAATCCAAAAAAAAAAAAAAAAAATGTTCGGACATGGAAACTTAATAATTATAGTGAACATGCACAAATACATTATTTTTTTAAATAAGTAAAGCTAACAAATGCCCCAAATGAAAATCTGCATGTGTCTCTAATTAACAACATCTCCCTGATGGGGCAATTTATATTATTCAGTGGCCAGTGTAATCCTAATAAATGTATATATGTATAATATTATAGCAGTAAATTTAAAAAGAAACACATCTGTATCATATTCAGATCACAAATTCTGTTGCCAAAACCTACAGAAAACTTGATTTAAAAAAAATCTACCTAGCAAAAAAAGAAAAAAAAAAAGGGAAAACATATCTCTTGTGGGTAGAGAGAGGAGGAACTCATAGATGGCTCTAAACGTATACATAAAATTTCAATTCATGGCAGAGTGATTAAAAAATACTCATTTTATAATTATTATTTTAGTTAATATACTTATATGTGGTATTTTGTTGCTATTACTATTCATCAATACTGAAAAGCTTTATTTCCACTGAAAAAGATAAAGTTCAAAAACAAAGTAAACCTTACATAATGAAATCTGTATTTCTCCAATAACCCGTAACCTGGAAACTAGTTCATTCTTTATAAAACCGCTGAGTGTGTAACTCATGTAAGAAGTAAGAAAATTGACTTGAGATTTGAACAAGTGATTTGGACGGATTAACTGGGTTTTAGAGGAAAACACAGCTCAGAAATTTCATCAGTGCAACAAAGCAGTGGAATCCCATTGACTGTATTTTGTACAGAATATGGTAAATAACATAATGAAAGAATCCATTTGAGTAAGGGCAAGAATTTCTCATGGAACTTTGCAAACAGTCTGAACCTAGAATATTTGTCAGGTTTAAACACATTTGAATTCCCAGTTGTGGAGCAGAAATTTGCAGCAGCTGAAGGAAGGGACAGTCATGTTCATTAAAATTTTTTGAAGCTTTGTAATAATCTTCAAACACAGTGTAAACCTGACACAGCTGAAAATTAGGTACCACGTGGCAACTTGGTCATGTTCTCAAGTTTCAAGAACCCATAATGTTAAATTGATAGTCACCGACATGTAGCACATGTCAATCCTATGCTAATGTTTACATGGAAACTTGCTAATAAGAATCAATTGTATTTGAGTAAAAACCGACTTTTTAAAAGTTTTATCCTTTGTTTTATTATTATTTTTTAAGATTGTATTTATTTATTCATGAGAGACACAGAGAGAGAGAGGCAGAGGCACAGGCAAAGGGAGGGGCAGGCTCCATGCAGGGAGCCCGACGTGGGACTCGATCTCGGGTCTCCAGAATCAGGCTCTGGGCCCAAGGCCATGCTAAATCGCTGAGCCACCCGGCCTGCCCTCCTTTTTTTTTTTTTTTTAAGTTTTAATCCTTTGGACCTAGAATTTATTATATTCCTTTATGTATAACTATAATAGTAAAGAAAAGCTGACAACTACTAAACTTATTTTATGAAAAATATGACTTGAATTTAGTTTTTGCCACTTGCTATTGTTCAGGAATATTCCATCATAATGCAGTGCTCTCTGGAACTATAACACATAATTAACTGATAAAGATTGCATGTTTAAAAATATGAATGCTATCAAATATTTATAAAACAATAAGATGTGTCAAAACAATCTGGAGTCACTTAAAATGCCTAAATGTGTTAGAAATAATTTCATGTGCTAAAAGAAAATGATAAGTAAAATGTGTAAACACCAATAAAGTCATAATTATGCTTGAATACATTTTCCTCTAAATCATAAGAATAGATGGATATATGGCTAGATGGGTAAAGTTGGAGACTTTTTTTTATTAACTAGGAACATATTTAATAAGAGTAAATATAGATTAATTTGAATAAACACATATTTTTATGACTCAATACACTTTTATCGTAGTCCTCAGGCTTGACTTAACAAACATTGCAGGTGCTACCCATAAAATGAAAATAATGATGCTTGGGGAATTTTTTGTATTTAAATAAATTCTTTCTTTCTATCAATGTTTTTTAGAACTTAAACTCTTAAGCAACAATGTTTTGGCTTTTCAAACTACCAAGATTCGAATATCATCAGTTCTCTTTTAAAGAATACGTGCCATCACTGAACTGTGTATGCTATAGTTAGACAATAAATATGATTGTGCAAACCAGTACAGCTTGGCAAGGGATCGGGTGAGGATCAGGAAAAGAAAGGACCGTATGCACTTGGGTCTGGCCAAGTGGGACAAAGCAGAAGCAGAGGAAACAAAGAGAACAGTTGGAATATGTGGAAGCTCCCAGGTTCAGGCCTGAGTTACACCCCCCCCCCACCGCATTGCAGGTGTCAAATTCGTAGCACCCTGCACCCATTAGGTATGGATTAATAAAGTAAGTGAGATGAGTTTCTGAGATATCATACACCCAGATCTGTAGTGTGAACAAAATTTAATGTATGATTAAATCATTCACTGGGATCTTTCTAAGACCATAAACTAATTCAAATTTTAAAGCATAGACATAGATCCCAAACTTCGCCAGTATGAAACTGAAATCTAAAACCTTCATGTAGGATCACATTTACAAAAGTCATCTTAGGAAAATATGTATTCTCTAAAATCTGGAGGACTTGGTCTTTTTGTTTCTAATAGTCTTTATGTAAACTGAATTTCTACAAAGAATGAAATTTATTTTCCCTAGAGAATGCTAATAAAAATATGCAATAAATAGAATTCTCCAAACCCTATTTTTATTCCTTAATCAGCACCTACATTAAATGGGGGACAGTCTCAGAAATAATCTATGTATCAAACAGTTTATAGTTTTCATCTTTATATGGAGCACTTATGGAATTATTTTAGAGAAATCACTGACTTGCAGCTTAAGGAGAATAAAGTGGAATGCTTGCATGATATCAGAGAGTTGCTTTGGTGTGCAGTAAAGCCTTCACACGGTTTGCTTTACTAACGTCACACAACTTTACAAATTGATCTCCTGCTGGTCTTATGAGGAGCACTGAGTTTGGGTTGTAAAGATTTCTGATAATTTTATTTTGAACTTTTGAATGTGTTTTTATTCCGAAGGTCTGGGAATTGGGAACATGTTCTATGTTTTTTATGAAGATGGAATCAAAGTGATACAACCCATAGAATGTGAATTTCAGAGGCACATTAAGCCTAGTGAAAAGCTCCTTGGATTTCAGGCAAGTATTTAAAAACTTCCTTTGCAGTTTTATGCAGCGGTTTTGTTAAGTAGAATTATATTTTGGAAACCCAATGAAATCCCATGCGTATATGAGATATTTGGGGAGGAAAATATTAAAACTGTGATACTGGCTGTCATTCTATGCAGGTTTTATATTTGAGGAAAAAAGATGATATGTTGTGTGTTCCTAATTACTTGTTCTAAATAAAATAAAGGCAATAGAAGTGAAATACGTAGAATGAACAGAGTGTAATAACTTTATCTGCTCCTTAATTTAGAACGTCTCACATTTTGGTAAGCGATGGTTACCCTAACAAAATGAAAGAAAATAGCATGTAAATAATCTGATGGGAAATTTGGATCTATTAGCTGCTTTATATATATTGATTCCCTTTTATTTTTCATCTCATCTTTATGAGGTCTCAATGGAATGAATATTGAGATTTATAGAGAAAAATATCAATTCTTTAATTTATTTATGTGTACCTTATCCATCCCAGAAAGATTTTTTTCTGTAAGATATTGGTACAGCATTTATAAAATAAAATAATATCTAACAAAATTGATATTGATTATATATATCATATATATATATATATTAGGGACTATATTTTATAAGATAATAAATTATAATTATATTACCAGAGCTATCTAGCTATCTATCTATTTAAATATATATCCACATAAACAGGTATACACCAAAATACGTAATATTAAAGGTAGCTGTGTTATTTATGTATTCCCACACAAGTTTGGACATGCACCAAACACCCAAAATAAGATAAGATATTGGTAGACCTTATTATGGACCCTCTCTTGATATTCATTTTTCATTTTTAAGGTTGTCATGGCCATGAGAGATGAGTAAAATAAATATTTAATGCCATTGTTTATAATTTTTACTTTCAACTCCTATTTTCAGCCTACCAGTAGCCAGTGTTGTTGCTGTTTATTGATACGTGGAGACAATTTATCATTTTGCAGTACCTGGGTGGCTCAATCAGTTAAGCATCCAACTCTTGGTTTCTGCTCAGGTCATGATCTCATGGGTAATGAGATGGAGCCCCATGTCTGGCTCCTGCTTAGCAAGTGGTCTGCTTGAAACAGTCTCGCCCTCTGCCCCTCCCCACACTGGTGTGTGCACGCACTCTTTCTCTCTCTCAAATGAAGAAATAAAACTTTAAAAGAAAAGAAAACAAATGGGACATTTTCAATTTAAAAATATTTCAGTTGTAAGCTAAATTACTAAATGGAATTATCATTTCTGCTAAGCTATAATTTAACAAGTGAGACATTTTAAGTTGCACATACAATTTTTGTTTTGCTTTATAATCACATAAGCTATTATTTGAATCACTTTGACCACTTTGAATAAGGTATATGTGTGGTGTGTAAATAAATAAATGCATATATAAAAATTTAATTATTTGCGTGTGATAAAGCAAATCATGCATTTTATACCATATTCATATTTTCATAAAAAACATTATGGATGAAAAATCTTGGTTAACACACAGATATGGGAAATGTAGCATTAAAATGCTTTAAATCAAAATAAAATAAAATAAAATGCTTTAAATCAAAGCAACATAATTTTGCAGGAGAGTATATCTCTGAGTACTACAGGACCAACAGTTTTGTAGCTGACACAGATGTGTTGGTTTTATCACAGAATTTGAAACTTCAGTTACTTAATAAGAATCTGTGAAATGCATACTTCTCATCACAGAACTGTCAACTCATGAATTCGATTTGCAAATTTAGAGACAAAGAGTTTTCTTCCTACATTGCAAGTGTGCTATTCCAGAGTATTTAAATGGTTTAATACAATTTGGTACAGTGCAAATCTTAAAGAATATGCTTTTTCAGAACATTTTTTGGTGGCTCCAGATGAGTTAATTTAACTATTTGAAATCTGAAGCTGAAAAAATAAACAAAAACTTGAGGCAACTATTGTGATGTGTCTGGACAATAGGGATGTGAGTTTACTTACCTGAATTTGTCTCTCTTTAAAGCTTTTGAATACATGGACCTTCTCCTAAAATAACTTAAGTAGAAACTACATAGGATTATGTAGATTTATCTCTCTCTATATATATATGGCTATATATAGTGAGAAATTACATACATAAATAAATTGTATATAATTTTCTACAAAAATTAAAAGTTGAAGAAGTGATGACCAAACCTCATAATGATAGCTTTTGCTCATTTCCTTCAACCTGCCCACCCTTATCTGCAAGCGTACATCAACAGTGAGTGTCAGAGCAAAAGTGGTTACGAGGAACTAATTTGCTGCATCAGATTTTCCAAATCACAACCTTTGGAAATCATTTTCATCCTACATATGAGTTTATGCTAGGAATGCGTAATGCAAAATGAAAGAAAGCATAAGGATAAAAGTTAGCGTTCCTATATTATATAAAACAAAAATTTACCAAAAAAAAATTTAATACTGAAATGGAAGAGTAAGCAAAAGGAGTAAGAAATATCAGATTTGTACTTTTAAGAAGAAAACAACTATCAAATCTGTGATTTTTATTTTTTTAAGATTTATTTATTTATTTGAGAGAGAGGGCAAGAGTGGTAGGAGAGACAGAGGGAGAGGGAGAGAGAGACTCCCCACTGAGCGCAGAGCCAGATGCAGGACTGATCCCAGGACCCTGAGATCATGACTTGAGTTGAAATCAAGAGTTGGCCACTTAACCGACTGAGCCACCCAAATATCCCAAATGTGTGTGTGTGTCTTTTAAATTTATGGTCTTTCTGTTGCTTTGAATGTTGGAATTAAAACACAAATACATTTCAGCTGACCTACATATTTTTAAAGCACGAGGAATAATATAAAAAATTGTGACTTAGCTAAAACTAGGTCTTGCTTATAACTGTTAAAGAATATGGTGGCATTCAATGAATATCAAAAAAGAGAGACGTGTCCTATGTAATTATTATAGTCCACATATATGAAATAAAAACTGCAGTAAATAGACTTTTATTTTATTCTGTTATTTTTTATTGCTTAGTGTTAAAACTTAATTAATTGGAATATGTATACACAGGCACCTTCATGGTGCACAAGTATACAGCAGTAGAAGTAAGAAGAAATCGATCCTCTTATGCTTTGAGAATAAATGTCCAACTAAATAATTATTTCTTATGCTAAGCTCTTTTTGCTTTCTGTTTAAATGCAAAAGAGATGCAGGCAGCCCGAGTGGCTCAGCGGTTCAGCGCCACCTCCAGCCCAGGGTGTGATCCTGGAGACCCGTGATTGAGTCCCACTCGGGCTCCCTGCAGGGAGCCTCCTTCTCCCTCTGCCTGTGTCTCTGTTTCTCTCTCTCTCTCCTTTCTGTGTTTCTCATGAATAAATAAAAAATATTTTTTTAAAAGAAAAGAATGCCAATTTCAGAGTGTATAAGCTATTTGGTGCTACATTTCTAGATTTACATTTCTAATTATAAATTAATTTCCTGAGGAAGTTGTTGAGTATTGTGTGAGGAGAAAACTTTTCTCCAGAGAAACAGAACCAAAAGAACTAATATCTGTATCTATATCTATCTCTGATTTTATCTCTATCTTTATCCCTATCTCCATCTCTCTCTACCTCTGTCTCTATCTCTATCTTTTTATTTCAAGAAATTGTCTCAGGTGATGGTGGGTGGCGTGGCTGGTCCAAAACCCCTGGGGCAGGACAGCCAGCAGAAGATTCAGGGCAGAGTGGGTATTGTAGTCTGGAGTCTGGAAGCCACAGGTCAGGCCAGTAGCCTGGAAACTCAGACACAAGCTGATATTGTGAGTCTTGAGTCAGAAACCTGGAAGACTGGAGATTCAAGCAGATTTCTGTGTGGAACACTTGAAGCGGAATTCCTACTTCTTTGGGAAAACTCATTATTAAATCCTAAGGCCTTCAGTTGAGTGGATGAGGTCCACGCGCACCCTGGAAGGTGGTGATTTACTTAAAGAACAATTGTGTTAATCACCTCTAAACACTTCACAGCAGCATCTAGACTGGTGCTTGCCCGAACAACTGGGCACCACAGCCTAGTCAAATCCCAGGTAACATACGAAATTAACCATCACATCTTACTGTCTCTTCTAGTCAAGGGCCTATTAAATTCATGTTTGTATTCCCGACATGTTTAGGTACAGTGGCCTGACACATGGCAGGCAGTCAAACAGCATTTGTTAAATGAATTTAACGAAAATCCCATTGCTCAGAGCCTTGGGCCACTCAGTCTTATGCATTCTCGAAGTTTAAACGTATATACATCTCATTTCTTCCTTACTTTACAATTCCCACAAGGTAGTGCTCTTTTAATGTGTTTGTGAAAAATATCTTATAGAATAATTTGTCAATGAATTGTTTGAAGGTAGATATAACCTCATGGGTCTATTAATTCGGGTCAAAACACTGTGCAGATAGGCTGTAGAAGATAGTTTGTGGAGTTCTATTGCAGGAAAAAAAAAAAAACTACTCCTTGGGGATTTTAGAAGATAAATGTCTTGAGTGAGAGTAGTGGAAATGAGTCTCTTGGAATTATTTTTTTTTCCCATGAAAGGATTAAACATAAATATCATATTTTTCAAAGTCATTGTTGATACTGAGAATGGCAATGCGATTTCCGATATAACTCATTAGTTAGTAACATTTAGGTAAAAGCTGAAATACTTAGAATACAGAATTTTTCATCAAACCTCCCAGAAGATGCCATTTGCTTGCTTTAAATAAAAATTCAATTTTGGTGCAATGTCAGATTACACCGGGTTCCAGCTTTTGATAGTGAGTTGGTGAGGATTCATGCAGCACGGTTTAGTTATACTTTCATCTCCTTCCTTTTTTTTTCTTTTCTGTTATATAGCCTCACTAGATACGACTCTTGCTATATTTATCCTAGGTGTACACATGATTTCATCTTGTCCCCTATAGTATGAACTTCAAGCAAATAGAATTCTCTGCCAGACTTATGAATTCAGAATGCAAACTGAAATGGGTTGGAAAAA